AATACTTCCGTGTTCATTCTTAGTTTTAACAGGGCGCACTGTATTCACCTTTACATGGGTGGCAGATAACAACCAGATAATTCTTGTGTTTAATAAATAAACAAGTGCATACCAACTAACTTAACCGATTAAAGTTCATATCTACACCTCCGCCTGTTCCAACACCTCGTCATGTAGATGCTGGATAAACATTTGTGAAGGAGCATCAATGTCAGAAGATGGTGTGATGGTGTCACAGTGTTTCTCCCGCGTGTATGTGGGAGGAAATCGATGGGGCAAAACGGTCTCTAAGCAAGATCATCTAATCCATGAAGAGAGATGCGACGCTACAGAAAATTACACAGCACCACTGAAGCAGTGCACAGAATTGTAATTAGCAGTATTTGCTAAGATAAAAACGTCACTGTTATTATTGCAGAATGCAGATACATTTATAGGCATATTCTAAACCCCTAACCCTCAGTATTAAACTTTGTTGTGTAACTCTTTCCACACTATTTGTGGAACAGGCATGAATGATCCCTCAAATCATGTTGTTTATTGAGAAGAGGCGTTTTTTCAGAGCAATTCTAAATTTTCTGTCTGAATTGAAGGAGAGACCCAAGCCATATTAAGAGACTAGAATTACATAGAAACCACCTAGCAAGCATCCAGACAAGCCTAGAAACCAATCCTCAATAGTATATCAACGACTCAAAACACCTTAGCAACTGCAGCAATGCTATAGCATAATGGCGGCTTGTATTGCACAGAAAGCACCACTCCTATTTTCTTCCGAAAATTGAAAAATCAAGTTGTCACCAGTGTAAAACCCACGTAAATTGAAAGAGGTCAGCACATCCTCCTACATCTGTAGTAAGACCGTACTGCGAGCTGTTTTCCGTCCGGTATACGCCGAATCTGCCATGTCCATCTAATTGGAATTTCGAGCCTGAGCCGACAGTCAAGAAGGACGTCTTGACAGCTTCCACTTACACACGCGCCAAGAGAACGTTAGTTATACGTTTGATGCAACTTCTGCAGCATGCAATGATGTGTCTCTGACAACCCCCCGAGTCTTCAGCGCTGTTACACTCCGCCATTCACTCTCTTCTGCTATATTTCTCTCAAACAACACAGATGCTAACACACTCTCAGCCCGTCTGTCTGAATTTTCCTTTCCCCGACACAAACTTGCACGCTTGCTCTGTTCCGAAACTATTATAGCAGCATTCTTCTAAGGCATCGTGGATATGCTCCTGATGTGAAGACTGTTCCAAACCTTAATTCCGGTCTTAATTATGCTGCCTCATTAGATTTCTAATTTTGGCCAAATTCTAAAGCAGCATCACATTCTTAACAGAGAAAGCATTCCTGGAATGCACTTCAGCAATTAATAAATCCAATATGAATTAAAAAAAATACAGATTATAAATAAACTTCTTTCAGCAAATTCAAAAAAAAAAGTATTTATGAAAATACTTCAGAGTAATTTAAGGTTATACGGAGCCCTGCAGAAAAACAATATATATACAGTAATTAGTTCCCACAATTTGTTAATTAGTGGCCATGTTTTATTATTATTTTACCCTCATTTTAATTAAATAATGGCCACAGTTTACTAATGCGTTCTGTAGTTTAAGTTAACTGAGGCTACATCTAAAGTAATCTGGATACATTTGAAAATAACGTTTTTGTTTCAAAGAACTCTCCATCCACAATAACTTCGGAAAGCATTTACATCATCGAACTGCACATACATAAAATGTAATCAAAAACTTGTTTTCAAAATATATCCAGATTAATCTCCAAAGGGTAGCATGTACAAAGCGAACAGCAATGGTCCTAGTACTGAGCCTTGTGGTACACCATACTGAACTTGTGATAAATATGACATCTACAAGCTGATAACAGTCAGATAAGAATGATTTGAACAATGCTAATGCAATTTCATTAATGCCAACATAATTTTCTTTTTTTAAGTCTATTAAAAAAAAAGAAAAAATTTAGAAAGCAGCACCCCAGATAGCAAACTGACATTGAATCAATGTGGAAATATGACATCAAAACAACGTCGATCTAACATTGTTTTGCTCATCGAATTAACGTTGAACCAACGTCAGACGCGTCATTCTTTCAAAACTAACGGAAAATCAACTTGAAATCAACGCGTTGTTTCAACGTTATGAAAGCAAACCAATTTTCGATTTTCATTTAGCTTTGAAGGATGCCGCGTCTGACGTTGGTTCAACGTTAATTCGATGAGCAAAATCAACGTTGTTTCAATGTCATGAGAGACGTCGTTTCCACGTTGATTCAATGTCAGTTTGCTGTCTGGGACCAGCTAAGATCCAGTTACACTAATAGAGATGATCGGATGGTCAGAGCAAATTATTTGTAACTCTAATGAGAGCAGTCTTAGTACTATGATATGGTCTAAATCCTGACTGAAAATCCACGCAGAGACCATTTCTTTCTAAAAAAGGAACCTAGTTGTGAGCATTAACAGATTAATGCAAACGTAACCTAAATGAAATTAACTAAGTTTTAAAGCGAATTAGTACTGGCTACAATTTTCCTAAAACGAGGGAACAAATGAACAAGTTGTGGTAATGAATTTCTATATTATTATGCATATTAGCTTAGCAACATGCTAACATGAAACCATTAAAACCAATGGAAAGTCAAGTCCTGCAGTGTTGCTGCCTATGTAGAGCGTTGTTGATGCCTATGCTAACATGAACCACTGAAATAAATGGTGTGTATCCTATTCAAAATGATGTTTTTTAGAGCATACATATAGAGTTGCTATACCTACAAACATTTTGTAAGGTTTACATGTGAGGTTATGACTTTCAGAGTGTTTAGCTTAACAACATGCTAACATGTAACCATTGATATCAGGGGCAAATCGAGCTCTACTACTGTGTGAAATACTGATTGTTGAAATTTTGTTTTCTGCAATGATCACTCATGAGCTTCCATGACTGTCCGGAAGACGATAAAGGTAGCTGTTTATGTAGGCAATAGACATTGAGGCGACTCACTAGGTTTTGGAACAAAGCTACTGCATTTTCACCGCCCACACTAACACTCTCCCTTCTTTCACGGATACACACAAATAAACACAAACACACAACCTCCCACACACAAAACCCTCTACCACCTTAATGAGAGTTCACACATTGTGATTATTACTGCACTTTTGGCCCAAACAGTTCCTTTCTCTTGATGAGACTGCAGCAAAGACACACAGATCTCAACCTCTGGGCGAATAGCGAATAACGCCAGTAAAAGAGCCTGATGTGCAACCAATTCTGCTGCCAAGCTGTTCTCTCCGATCTGCAGGCTTGCACAGAGCGGCCGGCGTAATTGGAAAGATCAAACGTGCTTTTGTGCATCGTGGGGAATGCGGAGCTTTGCCGCGGAGGGAGATCTGACTTGGGAAATCAGGGAGATACACAAGAGATAGAGAAGCTCTGATCACGCTGACAAACTGCCTTCCAAGTCTGCTCATAAAGAAATAAGTGCTGGCGATTCGGGGGGATTATACTTTATCAGGCAAACTTGTGGATAATTGGATGTTGGACATCAATATATGCACATGGAATGGTATTATGTTGGCAGTGTTAAAGAATCTTCAATGAAATTTGACTGTCAAAAAAAAAAAAAAAATTGACTAAACTACAGTCAAGCTACTCTTGAAAAAAAAAAACATTAACAAAAGTATCAAAAGTAGACTTTTAGAGTAGATAAAGTAGACTAAGCATGATGATAGATCAATTTGAAAATAATAATTAAAAATATAAATTACATATAAGAAATTCAGTTCAAATACCAATTGCAATATTAATGAAACCCTACTAATAATATATTATATAAACAATATTATTAATACACAAATAAAGAAATAAAGAAATAAATGAAAGGTACTGTAAGGTAGACAATTTGTCTAGTAAACACGCTTTGTTATACTGGTTGTAACTCTATTCACACCCTGATAGCAATCAATAATAGAAGTGGTCTACATTTTAAACTTCTGTGGAAGTCTCAGGAACAAAAAATGTTCGTCCAAACATTGCATTCAGTCCGAATTCAGTCCGACATAATTTTCTATGTCAAGACTATCAACGCCGAAATGAATCTGCAGCAGTCAGGCGGTACAAATAGACCTCTGTAAATTGTCTACGCTTTGAGACACGAGTTCATTTATCTCCTTCTTTCGTCTCGTAACGCTTTGCATAATCTGCTGTGCAGATCAAGTGTTTTGGACGAGACTTTGCTCGTGGCTTTGGAGACGCTCTGAAGGGATGGTGGGATCATATGCTTTCAAAGCTAGCTTGCTATTGGTGGCCTCTCCAAAATTGCCTACCCTACCTTTAATTAATAATAATAATAAAATAATTCATTATATAGCTAAAATCCTCTGTACAGGGAGTCATTCGACTGGATAAATTTAAATGAACTGCCTGAACAAACTGATGCAACCCGGTCTAACCCCAAGACGTCATATAACTGACGTTTTGGGACGTCTTTTGACCATACGTCAATATTCGCCTTTTTAGGGCCCCCTTAAACGTCGGTAGATGAGGTTATGGGATCCTAACTCTACCCCATACCTAAACCTAACCCTAAACCTAACCCGTCACCTAACTGACGTTAAAGGTAAAGCGTCAGTTGTATGACGGCCCGGGATCGCCATCTAGCGACGTTTAAGGGGGCCCTAAAAAGGCTGATATTGACGTATGGTCAAAATACGTCCCAAAACGTCAGTTATATGACTTTTTGGGATGAGACTGTGTTAACTGATGCACTAAAGTGAACTTGACTTCCTAATGCTTCGTATGAGAGAGAGGTGATATTTTAAGGGAAATTGTCATTTGAATATTGTCAAATAATGCATGTGCAATAGAGAAAAAACCCAGCAATGTAGCATTTTGTTGCAGTAACAAATTAATATAGTAGATTGGAACATTTCATGTAGGTGTCATGGGTCTCATAAATTAGACGTTATAATCATGTCGATGACTCTTCAGTTCTTATGAGGCATTTATTTACACAGTTATGCATATTTGAACAGACTGAATTAAAATAAGTGGAATATTCATCAAACAACAGCTCTCAAGTCGACCTGTTGTCATCTCCCCTCTCAGATAGGTTTGAGTTTTGAATATGGCATGCATGTAAAGCTGTAGAGCTCGACTGGCTCACTCAAGCACACATGAGCACACTGTACACCCACACACACACACACACACACACATACAGATCGCAATTCCCCTTCTCTCACCAGCAGAGGAAACAGAAATTCTTAAATCACAGTCCGATGTCCTCCACGTAGAGCAATCTCTCAAGAGCATGTCATGGAAGACAAATTACAACGGAGGTAAATAAAACACCTGTCTTGAATTGTAACAATCCACTTTAAAGTCAGCTCGCCCTTAGAGGACTTTCCATTCTTTGAACATTTCCTCGTCTCTTTCCGAAAGTTACAGTTTGAGTCCATCCTGCCCAGTTTGAAACTTTCATGTGTTCCACTCTATTCCTTTCTTCAATATGAAGAAAAGATCAGAAGAAACAAGTCTTTGAGGGAAAAAGAGCGGCCAAATACAGTTCTGGCTTACATTTAATACATATTTTAAACATTATTACAGTTAGCTTATAATTCTCAAGTCCGTCTCATCGTTTGTGGCCTCGGCAAATGAGAGGAAGAATGGAAGGGATTTGAGTTAAGGAAGAGAGTGATCGTTTTTTTTTTTTTTTGCCATTAGAGAAACACATGCACACATGCAAACTGAACCTGAGAAGTCGAAATGTCGCCAATTTAATCCATGTAATGAAAAGTCGGTGTAAACACGAGAAAGTCATGACAAAAGGGAGGGAAAGAACAAAGACGATTGCCTGAGGCGCCATCATCCAGAATTCCAATTAACATGTGCTGTGTTTTCCCAGCACTCTCCAGGTGCTCCATACACAGGCTGATACACTTTTCCATTGGACACGCCGTAGTTTTCCACAGGCTCCTTGGGAGAGGTGCGACACTGTCCCTAGTTGTATACAGGTTTTCCATTGGCTCTTCAAGCAATAGTCGGTTCCAGTAATTTTCCATGGGGTTTATGGATTGTCCCAGTCAGGTTTGCTCTTCAAATGGGATTTTGATGCTAGCCTCGAGGCTCAGCAGGTGTTTTTTTTAATCAGTCAAACCCGTATGGGAAGAGTTTGGCTCATTTGTTGTTTCATGTCCTGTGCATCTTCTATACTCTTCCTTTGGTGGCCCGGCAGGGTCCCGCCAATTCGACAGAGATCACTATAGAGAGGGAAAAACAAAGCAAAAATCAGCTAACGCAGGAAACATTGACATGTGACAGGATTTCAAGGATTTTATTCCAAGACCAAAAAAAGATTTCAACTTAAAAAAAAACTATAGCCAATATTTATAGGAATTGAATTGGAATTTTCATTCTTAGCTTAAAGGGATAGTTCACTTTGAAATGAATTTTTGGTATGTTTTAGCTTACCTCAAGTGCATCCAAGATGTAGGTGTCTTTGTTTCCACAGTATTTTCAATTTTGATATTTTTCGGTCAAACCGTTTTTGTCTATCAGTCATGTAATGCTGGTTTAGGGGGGTCCACCCTCGGTTCACCTCTTAAGAGCATGCACAGAGTAGTCCAAATTAAACATGATTTAAGGACTTGTAAATGTAAGTACACATTGATGGCCCAAGACACGAAACGAGCGGTTTGTGTGAGAAAACGAACAGTATTTATTAGGGCTGGGTAATAAATATCGATTTCTCGATATTAATCGATTCTCATTTTTACAAACCGATATCGATTCTTAAATCTCAAGAATCGATTAGTCATCCTGTTTCATTTGAATGAATGAGAGATTGTATCGCGGCTGCGCGCATCCAACAAATCGCAATAATCTTTGTCCTTTGTTACTATTGATATGAAACAAAGTCTCAATTTTCAAATTACGTCCATTTTCTTTAGAAATTCAAAAACATAAATAGCGTTTTGCCGTTTTGGCGCTGTGGCGTGAGATCGCTCTGGCGCAGCTCTTCTTCCGGCTTAATAATACCAGTCACAGCGCCAAATAAACATGAATGAGCATCTGAAAGTGTGTTAAAAGATAGAGTACAACTTATCAAAATCCCTATCATGTCACATTGATTCGCTCAATCTGCGTTTCAACCGTGGAAAGATGTCAGTTAAACAGCTTGTAATCAATGTCATGTATCGTCATATTTACCTCAGAAAACCCACATAAACTCGTTAGTCCACACTCGTTAGTGTTCTTCAATATTTAATGCATTTTTGAATAAATATGGCAAGTTTTTTATGACAGCCACCATTTAAATGTTTATATTTCATATAATCTTCTTATTATAAAAATAAATAAAAGTGTAATTTAAGTGTTTGTATAGCTACAAAACAGTTAATTATTAGCTTCATATTAGGCTAATGAAGCCTAGTAGGCTACAACTAGACTATATATATATAGACCATAGTTTACAGCATTTAAAAGATTTGATTCCCTTGAGAAAAATTGCCATTTATTGTAACTGATATCCAAAATAATCGATATTGAATCGAATCGAAATCGAATCGAATTGCAAGCTTGTGAATCGAAATCGAATTGTGAAATTTGTCTCAATAACCAGCCCTAGTATTTATATTGTTTTTACCTCGTGTAACCACAGCCATGTCCAACCGTATGTCACAGAAGTGATCACTTGTGCGTGTACGTCACTCATTGTTTACACAGAGATTTCGGAAGTTTTACCTTTCACTGTGAAGATCTAAATATATTTAGATATACAGGAAATGGCAATGGAAGACGATTTCGATATATCTAAATATGTTTAGTGAAAGGTAAAACTTCAAGACCAAAGCGCTCGTGCCGTCAGATCAGTTGGACATGGCTGTTAACACGAGGTAAAAACGATATAAATACTGTTCGTTTTCCCACACAAACCGCTCGTTTCGTGTCTTAGGCCATCAATGTGTACTTACATTTACGAGTCATTAAATCGTGTTTAATTTGGACTTCTCTGTGCTCTTTGAGGTGGACCCCATAAACCTGCATTATATGACTGATAGACAACAACGGTTTGACCGAAAAATATCAAAATTGAAAATACTGTGGAAAGAAAGACACATACATCTTAGATGCCCTTGAGGTAAGCTAAAACATGTCAAAAATTAATTTCAAAGTGAACTATCCCTTTAATTCAAGATGGAGTGGAAAGAGCTATGTACAGATTCTTCAAAATGTCCAGTTCCAGCGGGGAAAAAAATGATGTGGTTGCTTGATTTTAGGGTGTCCTTATCAAAGTGTAATTACTGGGTAATATTATTGTAATTACCATAAGGTTTTGGTTATTTCAATTGCTTTTATGTATGCCTAATTTCATGTTATTAGCATAGTAAGCATATGTAACGAGCCAAGTACTATAAAATAAAGAGTTACCATGACACCATAGTAAATTTGGAACAACATGAGAGTAAACAATGACAGTGTTTTCATTTTAGGGGTATAGTATTCCTTAAATTTCCAATAAAAGAAGACGGAAATGTGTATGCTCTCATCCAAACGAGGATGGTAATCACACACAGAGACACACAGCTGTCTCTGGAGATTGGATCATGACATGTCAACAGCCCGGCCAGCGCTGCTCGTGCATACAGATGCAAACATAAATGAATCATACACAGGCCATCAGCATGCGGCGTCACGCGGAGGCCCACGCACACACACTCGACCGCTGGACACGAGGCTCCAATGCCTGCACATTAAAAAGCTCATTAGTCGACTAATTAAAGTCATTGCTCTCTTTTAGCATCTCCTCCATCTCCCTTATTAAGCTCTGTACGCCACCTCCGCTAGCCTAGTCTGGACTGAACCAGCTTCCCCCAGTGAGCAGACACAGCAGCCAGCGAAGAGGAAAGGGCACTGCACTGTGTGTAAGTCAGCCGTTACTCCGTTCCCAAGACGGCGCGGTTCACAATGCTTTAGGCTAAAGCAGAGCATTCACAAACGCGAGTCAAATGAGTGTGCTTATTTTGACTAAGACTCAGCAGTGTTATGGATTGCATTTATTTACTGGATAATTTATGTGGTTGAAACTGCTTATCATGTGGAGTTGAGGGGGGTTACATGTTAAATAATGATTTGCATTGTGAGGCGCGGGGAGGGGTTAGCTTATGCAGTTTAAAAATTCAGCTTGTGCTTTACCCGCAGGAAAGAGAGATCTCTTTTTAATATCTCAATTATTTCTCCTAGACTGCGATGAGATGAAATGGAGAGCTAAGTCTCGTGCTTCTCAGATGTTTCTCGCTAGTAATCGCACATCTCCTCATGTAGAGATCTCAGTAATGGCACACACTGTGCTTAGATTTACTACGATCAATCAAACGTCAGAGATCACAAACATTTCCAATTACCCGAACTGTATGTTACCGTTTCTATTCTGTCTGTTTCTGCAAGTTAAAAAAATTTAAAGGTTATTGTGACTATATCACACTATTGCAACTTAATTTAGAGTAACTGTGATTTTATAATATGTGAAACTACCTGTAGTTCAGTGTTGTAGTACTCGGGACTCGGACTCGTCTCGGACTCGGTCTCGAGACCATATTTTAATGGTCTTGGTCTTGTCATGGACTCGTGTGCATTTGGACTCGGAATTGACTCGTACTCGAAAATTTTTTTTTTTTTAGGACTCGGACTTATTTCCGAGTCCACTCGAGTTCAATTCAAAATATTTTTCATGATTATTAATGTATGTTAATAACATATTTCTTTAAATTGATTGACACGCCCAGTGATTGGTGATTTTCTAGTGCGCAACTGCGCATGACAAATTGTAATAAAATTACTTTTAACACCACCTACTATGTGGCCTTTTTACCCTAAACTGATCACATTTTTTAAACTCTAAGTAAATTCAGTAAAATAAAAAAAAGGATTTCTCTAAGTAAATAAAAGTAAATTAGGTAATTAACCCTCACTGGTCTCGGTCTCGACTCGGACTCGACCATCTCTGGTCTTGGACTCGACTTGGACTCGACTCTCTATGGACCCGGTCTTGACTCGGACTCGACTCTCTCTGGTCTCGGTCTCGACTCGGACTCGAGTGAGGTGGTCTCGACTACAACACTGCTGTAGTTTATCTATACAGGCAACCCGGTCTCATCCCAAATCGTCATATAACTGACGTTTTGGGACGTCTTTTGACCATACGTCAATATTCGCCTTTTTAGGGCCCCCTTAAACGTCGGTAGATGAGGTTATGGGATCCTAACTCTACCCCATACCTAAACCTAACCCTAAACCTAACCCGTCACCTAACTGACGTTAAAGGTAAAGCGTCAGTTGTATGACGGCCCGGGATCGCCATCTAGCGACGTTTAAGGGGGCCCTAAAAAGGCTGATATTGACGTATGGTCAAAATACGTCCCAAAACGTCAGTTATATGACGATTTGGGATGAGACTGTGTTAATACAGGTGGACCTGGGGAAGGTGGAGGGTTTCTGAGGAACTTTGAAAGCGCGTTTCAAATGCTACAGCAAACACACATCCACTATTTAAACATTGAGCAGCAAGCTAATTGGCTGTAGGCGCAACAGGAACCAATCAGCTTGTGCCATGTAGTTAATTACGTAAAAGTCTCCAGGCTGTGTTCCCATCAGCCTCGCCATCTAGAGTTTCATTTTTAAATCTCAAAATGTGACTTTGTTATGCAATTGTGGCTATTTCTTGAAATTTCAATGTCATATTGCGCAGTGATGTCACACAATTACGACTTTTAATTGGCATTTTACATTTCACCATGTGACTTTGTCTCGCAGTTTGTCTTTTATTTCTATAACTTAATTTCTATTGTGCAAAGTAACTGTCTCACAATTGCAACTTGTAAATGGCATTTTAAATCTCACAACATGATTTTCTTAAAAATTGTGTTTGTTTCATGTAATTGCGACTTTAATGGTGCGTTCACACCGGACGCGAATAGCGCGTCAGACACGAATGATTTCAATGTTAAGTCAATGCAAAGACGCGTTATGCGCGTAAAAAATTCCTGCGGCGTGAATAAGGCGTAGAGTGCAGGCCTCATTCGTGGGTCAAGTTCACGCGAATGGCGTGTCTGGCACTTTACGCGCTAATAATTTAGTGTGTATTTGTGCTATTTTTATAATTTCTTTTATTCTAAACTGTTTTCATTACCCTGATTTCTTTTGATTATTTTATTTTCTTCTTTGTAAAACACTTTGAATTACCATTGTGTATGAAATGTGCTATATAAATTAACTTGCCTTGCCATTCACGCGTTTGACGTGAATTCGTGCCTGCCGCCCGAGTTGAAAAATCTGAACTTTGACGTCAATTCGATCCGCTGTTCTGCACTCCAGAGAAAATACAGAGCGGTGACTCTCTCGATGAATGCTCGATCAACCTAAAAAAGATGGCCGTCAACGGGTTTCGATTCTGACGCGTGTGACGCACATAAATTTCGCTTTTGTTTTTACGTGCGTCAGTTTCACAAAGTGGTCAAGCGTCAAACTAGACGCGGTAGACGTGAATTTGACGCATTATTCGCGTCCGACGTGAACGCACAGTAAGTCTCACAGTGTGACTGTATATACTGTATCGCAGTTGCAATTATTATTATTATTTTTTTTTTGCAATTTCAGCTTTACAGTTACTACACCTCACATGTGCAACTTTATCACAAATTTGGTTTAATTTTACGGTAGTAGAGTGGCTTAATATCATGGAGATTTTTTATTTTATTTTAACTTACTTTAAAAGTATATATATTAACTTACTTTAAAAGTATATATATATATATATATATATATATACTATATAAGTGTATATAAGTATATATACACACAGTACAAAACTTCACTATGCATCTTGAGACATGAAAAATTAGCAATACATTCTTCTTTTATATTAATAAAAAAATGTAATCACAATGTGGGGTAAAATGCTGTGCCGTCAATAATATTCTGACAATATGATGAATTAGCAGTAACAACGAACTCTTTCCCATACATACGCTCTGCCAATTGTGATTTCACAAACTATATTGTAGCAGAAAGATCCATCTTTTCCTGTAAATCAAAGCAAGAATTGACCCGTGTGTCCAATCTGGCTTTTTTCTGCTCACCCTGAGTGTGTACTGGTAAGCACTTTGAGGCTTGCGGCGTTGCGGAGGAGCTTGTCAAGTGTGCTGACGATCTGTCCGAAGCGTGGCCTCATGTTCCGCTCCTTCACCCAGCACTCCAGCATGAGCTGGTGCAGCACTGCGGGGCAGTCCATGGGAGGAGGCAGCCTGTAGTCCTGCTCCACTGCGTTCATTACCTACAGCATCAACAGTCAGAGCAGTTACGCTGTCCTTCTGCATTAGGACAAACTCCGCAGCATATATGCAAAGTTTTATCAGGCATACAGTATGTGACTGGAATGTTACAACAGTTGAACCCTAATAAAGACTAATAGGGTTGAAAAACCTTCACAAGATCATCTCAGAATAAGACAAAACTCGGTTTAGACAAAACAACACAAGCTAATGAATACTAGAGACAGTGAAGAGGTTATAAAACATGCATTTTAGTATAATATTAGTAGTAGAGTGAAAGGATGGACCTTGTGAAACGTGTTAGGAATATGCCTGGGTCGTATTTCACCACATAATCAAAAATAAAAAATGCCCTTAGAACTTTTATTATATTTTATTTATACAAACCATTCCCATTAACATAATGCAAAAAATGTCATTCTCATCTTATCCCAAAAAACATAAAAGCATAAATACTTATTTCCCTCCTTTTTGTTTAACTATTTAACTCTGACAAAGGTATGTGCTTTTGAATAAATCTATACAAATTATTAATAATAATAACATATAAGTATACATTTTTCAAAATTTTAGAAAAGATTGCATATACAACAGTGCTGGACAACAATTTATCGCATCTAAAATAAAAGTTTGTGTTTTACATAATATATGTGTGTGTGTACTGTCTATAACTATTTATAATTATATACACACATATGCATATATATTTAAAAATTTGCATGTGTATATATGAAGAGTTCAGATGCAAAAGCCTCTAAATGCCATTTGAAATTTTCTTCTTTAATGACGATTTTTATTAAACTTGTATATTTAAGTTCAGTAATTTCACTTAAATAACAATTAATAGGTAATTATCATTGCCATTTAAGTGAAATCACTGAACTTAAATATACAAGTTGAACTGAACTCTCTTCATATATATATATATATATATATATATATATATATACACTCACACACACACACACACACACACACATTTACTCTTAATTTATATTATATATATATATATATATATATATATATATATATACTAGCTAGTACAAGCCGTACCATATTCTCACTCATTTTGGTCTAAAATATGACTTTAAAATATGATTAATGACATGAAAAAAATCGACATACATCTTGATTGCTCATGTCCCAGTACGGCCGCTCCCCGAAGGACATGACCTCCCACATCACAATGCCGTAGCTCCAGACATCACTAGCAGAGGTGAACTTCCTGAAAGCGATCGCCTCGGGAGCGGTCCAACGGATTGGGATTTTCCCTCCCTACATGATAACACACATGCACACAGAGGCCATTAAATTCAAACACAGACTTTAAAACCAATGAGATGGCTTGAGTCTTCAGCTGCCTAATTAGAGCGAAGACTCTGCCCCAACTCGCGGCTCTCTCCCCACAGGGCATCATCGCTGGCTTCATTAATCTAAGATGAAAACCAGCAAAATAAAATGCCAGGGTTCTAACTTTAAACAACGGTTTGATCTGTCCATGAAACAGACAACGTGAACGGGGAAGCTAATCAATACGCTAATCCAAGCCAATTACGAGCTAAACTAGCATGCTAGCAATAAATCTAGACTACTACTAGCATGCCCAGTAATGACATAAATGTTTACTCAACAAATTCTAAGCCAAAAAATTCTAAAAATAAATTGAAAGGAATTTTAAGGGTTTCTAGTCATTCAATTCCCTTATCTGTCGTCTATCATGTCGGACACATTGAACAAGCCGTACCGTACTGACTACTTCCATATGTTTCCAACAGACAGAGATAGAGACAGGCTTCTTCCACATATCAAGTATGCCATCTGTACTCCCGATTCTGATGGTCAAGGCTGCATGTTCTCATCAATTGTTAATTCGCACTGTATCTGTAAAACGCAGATATCGCTTACATTTCTGCCTGGAGCCTGGATAAAATGTTCTCTGAAGTCCCTCAAAGCTAACAGACATGGACTAAACTCCACAACAATTATTGTATAGGGTGTTAGCTTAATATACTAACAAAAAATACCAAACAGTATATCATACTAAGATGGTTTTTGGACATGCACTGTATAAAGTGCGTAAACACCACAGCATAAGGAAGCTATCATAGAAACCCAAATGAAACCAGGGTATTAAATAAGGTAATCATTCAGTATCATGGTGTACCATGGTATTGTTGATGTATACCAAGATAACCCGAATGCATAGCATCGTCATGATCGACTTCAATGGGAACCAAACGGTTCAAGGTCCAAAAGACAGTTTCAGTGCAAGCTGCGAACTGTTCAAAGGGCTTTAAACGATTCCAGACGATGAATAAGGGTCTTATCAAGCGAAACGATCGCTCATTTAAAAAAAAAATAACAAAGTTGTTCTGTGATGCGCATTCGTGACTCTCCTGTTCGAACTCGTTTATCAAAATGAACGAATCTTTTTTCGTGTCATTCGGTTGATTCAACTAACAAAATTAACGAATTGACTCGGAAAAAAGATTTGTTCATTTTGATGAACGAGTTCGAACAGGAGAGTCATAAACGTGCGTCACAGAACAGAGCAAGGCAAGCATTTGAGCTAAAACTTAAAACTTTGAACTTATAAAACTTAAACTTTGTTATTTATTTATTAAATGAGCGATCGTTTCGCTTGATGAGAGCCTTATTTATCGTCTGGAATCGTTTAAAGCCCTTTGAACAGTGTGCACTGAAACTGTCTTTTGGACCTTGAACTGTTTGGTTACCCGTAAAGTCCATTATATGGAGAAAAATCCAGGAATGTTTTCATCAAAAACCTTAATTTCTTTTCGACTGGAGAAAGAAAAACATGGACATCTTGGATGACATGGGGGTGAGTAAATTATCAGCAAGTTTTTTTTTAAGTGAACTACTCCTTTAATATAAGGTCATCGCAATTTTGTAGTCCAAACCCTAACCATAAGTTTGCCTAAAATCAGAGGGAAAAATATGTGAATAACACTTATGTATAAGCACCTAACCCTGGTAGTAAGTCTAAACTTGACAGTAAACTTGTCCCTAAAATCTGATTGGTTGATTGAAATGTTGTTCCAGAATGTTTAAAATAAATCACGTCATCAACAACATACGTTTTTACATTGCTTTAACTCATCAAAATAAGTAAAGCAATTTTCTACTTTTTTTTAAGTTGAAATGACTTAATCATCCAAGCAACCTTTTTTACAGTGAGGAACATGTGTGACATGTTGGAATTACTATCATTCTAGTTTGGACATATGAAGGAAATGGACCCTTTATATCTCTCTGTTATGAAGAATTTCCTCATTTTTTACTTAATAATTTACCTATTTAAATTATAGCATTTCTTAAATTATTATCAATAAAGACAAGAGCTCTTTCCTTTAGCCATGTACTGACTACTAATTTGTACAGACAATACAAATTTAAGATAAGCTTCAATATCGGCTTAGAGGGGATTGGAGGATTTGTTGGAGCAAGGCTATTTCATTATTAACTTTATATCATTACATAAAAAGAGCAGACCTTCTCTGAACTCACCAATGAGCTGGTGTAGGTGGGGTCCGATGAGTTATCATCTAAAAAGCGAGAGAGGCCAAAATCGGACACTTTGCACACCAGGTTGCTGTTGACGAGCACATTGCGGGCAGCCAGGTCACGATGGACGTAGTTCATGTCGGACAGATACTTCATGCCAGCCGCGATCCCCCTCAACATGCCGACCAGCTGCGTTACGGTAAACCTGCCGTCGTTCAGCTGAGCGGGAAACAGAACAATAAAAGAGGGAGAGTGACATTAACAGATGTAAACATGACACCACCCTGGTTCTACTCGTTCTAATCAGCCTGAATTTGACAGTGCCGTCGGACTAATTCCACTCGCAGCAGCCTGTAATCTTCCTCATAGTATCGGGATGCCAATGTCATGAAGACAGAACTCCACAAAAGCTAATCCCCATGGAAGAATTTCCTTTTGCAAAAGCGCTGAATACTTAAAAGCGTAACTCAATTACACACTTCAGAATATCAAACCCACATGTTTTCATTTTCATATTCTGAAGAGGGAAAAAGTGCTCTGGCGGGTCGCACTCTGTTCTGATAGGATCACAGACAGCAAGGATAAAACAGTAGGTAACACTTTCATTTAGGGTCCAATAGTTGTTTATTAGCATGCGTATTACAAGAATTGCTGTTTATAAAGCACATATCAATGCCTTATACATGACCATATTCTACATCTCTTAATCTTACTTAATACCTAAACTTAACAACTCACTTACTAACTATTAATAAGCTAATTATGAGTTTGTTGAGGCAAAAATCTAAGTTACAGTAATAGTTAAATAATGATTGGATAATTATTGCAGTTATTATGTTTCTAGCTGTAAAAATGATCATGATTTTGACGGTAAAATACTAAAAGTGCTACAGTGCAAAACAGTATCAGAAAGGTTCCTTACTATATACGGTAAATAACTGTGATATATCTAATGGTACATTTAATGTAATTTTACTGTAAAATACTGATAGATTTACAGTTTTTGGAAGTGAAAAAAAAACAACTCGTTGTATAATTTATGGTGAACAAAATGTAAATTGACATTCCCTCAATTCCCTGCATGACACTTCACAGTTGATGTATTTTTGCTGAAATTACTATGTTTCTTCATAGTTTCCTCAATATTTTATTTATATATTTTAGTATTTTAACTGAGTAGGTGAGTATTCTACTCACCTATGTACATTAGGCTTTTATGTTACATGTAATTTTGTTAAATTAGTGTTTATTGCATTTTTTTTTTCATGTGTGTTACCATGATGTTGTTCAATGTTTGTGCAAATGACACGGTGCAACTTCTATATAATAGTAATAGCTGCTTTATATAAGAGGTGCTTGTTATGAATTTTTATTGATCATGTGACTCTTATCACTGCTGTGATTTTCAGTGTATTACAATGGTACAAAACAATAATTAAAACTTCGAAATCTAGGTAAATTAACATTTTATCAGATGATGAAATATGGTTTATTACTGTAAATATTAAGTTAAGTCTGTAAAACCAATAATGTTGATACCATATTTTGACGGAAAAGTTATGGCAACCACAGCTGCCATTATTTTACCGTAAAAAAAAAAAAAATATATTTTTTACAGTGTGTTATATGTTTGGCAACAGATCTTCTAAACCTAACCGATGAAGTGTGTAGCTTTTTATTTCTTAAAGGAGCTGTATATAAGAAATGTATTTCAAATGATCATAAAATGGCCCTGATATGTCACTAGACATTAAGAAATCATGTTAATTAAAAAAAAAAAAAAAAAAAAACGTATATAGCTGACAACAGTAGTCCGGCCAGGATTTTGTCATTTAAAAAGTGAAGTTGCAGCCCTCTCAACTGATGTTGATGTTGTCATGTTGTGTTTTGTTCTGATGCTCCACCCTCCACTGATCTACCAATCACGAAGTCAGTAGTGTTGCAGCATCTGGGTTGCCAGCTCTGCTCTAGTTACCACAGCTGTAGATACAAACGTGTCGGATAAAAAAAAAAATGTTGGATCCTGCAGCCTATCTGGCAACCTTGAGTCAGGGGGAGGGCTCTACAGTGATTTGAAAGTGACTGCAGTACCAGTTTTGGCCACAAACTTACATACGGCTCCTTTAAACAATCATGTAGGAAGCACATCATAGCCATATTCCAGGATGACAATGTCAAGATTCCTCAGGATCAAATTATGAAAGAATGGTTGGGGGGGGGGGACATGAAGAATCATTTCCACACAATGAATCGGCATCTGAGTCCAGATCTTAAATTCATTGCAAGTCTTTGGGGTGTGCTGGAGGAGACGTTACAGAGTGCTGGAGTCGACCTTGACCAAACATTAATGCACCCCTTGATGCAAATAAATGTGCGTCATTTTTTTTTTTTTATCAAGATCTTGGCCATGATGTGTTTACTTCATGGTTGCAATATACTGTTCATATATACTTTTGTACAAAAAAAAAAAAAAAAAAGATCTTTTATTGAGGATTTATGTCAATATAAAAATGTACTTTAATTTTACAGTTCTTCTGCTGAAGAAACCTCTGATGGGAAATTCTCAAGTCTACTGTTCAAAAATAGCACATGGTTCACGTGAAGCCTCGAAGCAAAAGAACATCATCACGTCTGTAGCCAGTCGCACTTGGTTTGGCTCCAATGACGAAAAACATTCAGCTACAAGATTTTGATGTTGATGCTTTTTTTTCTTCTTCTAAAGTTGAAGATGAATCATGCCAAAGCTTGTTCCTACAGATATTTTTAGAAGCCTGTTTGTGTGTATGCGTGGAAACGAGTGTGCTTGTGTCCCCGGCTGGACTTTGTGTGAGTACAGGCTGTGCCGTAGGAAGATACCAGCCTGGTTGGGTGCATGGGCTTTAAGTTGTGTCATCGGCTGGTGCTCAGACAGAGCGAGACTATCCCACCTCTGGATGTCGAAACTCTCAGTGTTCTGCATTGACTGCACAAGTTGGTTAAGGTTCTGGAGTTCAAACAGTTTCTGTAGAAACTCAGCTGAGGGATTACATGAAGACTTTAGATTACTTTGGTATTTTTTAAGATTTTGAAAAGCCAGATGTTGACACAAGTTAAAGATGAACCAAGGTTCTGCCTAAAGAACCATGAATAAGTGTTTAATGCTGAGGGGTTATCAAAATCCCCTGTCAGCACGAAAGAAGTTATTACCGACAGTCAGGCCATAGATTCATGCGAGGGAAGTTTTGTAAAGTAAAGTGACGTATTTCAGACTGAAGCAGAATATTCAATTGGACTTGATTTTATCCATCGGGAATTGATTGAACAAGTTATTAAATTTTGATGAAAGATTATGAAGCCAAACTTTTTTTCTAAGCACCAGGGGTGTGACTAGGCGAAGCCCCGAAGGTTTTCCAAAAGCTGAGTTTGTTCTTTCCAACTTGTTTTTTTAAAGCTATTTCTTTCATTCTTTTTAATGTATGCACTGCAGCATTTTTTACTCTTTCAATGGAGCTTGATTTAATATGCGATTCATGTACTTTAACATCCCATCTAGATCACAAGTTAGCAATCCAACACGACTCAACAGATTCTCTCAGTTCAATGGCAGTGCTTTAGTTCGTCACATTGCGTCGCTAGCCGTATAAACAGGGCGCTTCGGATTTGTGTAGAACAGGGCCTTAAAGACATGGACTTTGGGGAAAAAACATCAACATTCACTACATTAACTAAAAATAGAAATTATAAATAAATCGATATACAGTAAGAAAGTTGTATGTTTTATGCACAGCACTGGCCACTTGCTTTTCAGCCAAAACTGACACAATCATTCATTCATTTTGGAGTACAGGTACAATGTGTCATGTTTTGTCCATGTTTCATGTCTTTTATTTTGTAAATAGTCATAATCAATGTTTGTGTCCCATGTTGTCATTGGTTCATTGTCTTGATTGTTCACAGGTGTTCCTTGTTAGTCATTAGACTCTGTATATATATAAAGCCCTCATGTTATCATTGTACTTTGTCTAGTATTGTTTCCTTTAATACTGTTGGTGAGTTTTATGTTTCTAATCTAGTCTAGATTTTGTTCCTGTTTGGATTAATAAACTGCTCTTGGGTTCTCATACACTCGCCTCTAGTGGACTATGTTACACAAGGAAAGGCTTTAGCGATAAAAAGTGGATTTCGCAAATGTTTCCGAGTCTCCACCCAGGTGTATATAAGACGAGATGGATTATTACAGATTAAATCAATTTCATCAATGTATTATGTTCTCGGTCAAATTTGACCCGAAATGCATTTTTGTCATTGTAAGCGTCTCTGCTTATTGAGCTGCAGGGAATCACATTTTAAATCTTAAATTTAAAATAAAAATATTTTAAAAGCTGTTTGTAAAATCCATTTTTTGTTGTTGTTGTAAAACTAGGGCTGTCAAACAATTAATCGCGATTAATCGCATCCAAAATAAAAGTTTGTGTTTACATATATATGGGTGCACTGTGTATAATTATTTTATATATATAAAAAATACACACACATGCTTGTATTTAAGAAATATTTTTATGTATATACTGTATATATATTTATATATAATTTATATTATATATATATATGTATGTAAATATAAGTATTTTATATATAAATAATATTTTTTTCTTGAATATACATGCATGTGTGTGTATTTATATATATACAAAATAATTATACACAGTGCACCCACATATATTATGTAAACACAAACTTTTATTTTGGATGCGATTAATCGCGATTAATCGTTTGACAGCCCTATGTAAAACAAATGTTTTAAAATAAATTTTTAAAAATCATATGTCCTCGTGTTTACTTTGTTTAATGTGTTTTCTTTTTTGTTCTTCAGAGTGTGATTTTTGTTGAATTGCACAGAATATAATCAAATAAACAAAATGATCATAACTACAACTTTAACAATACAAGGGTTCAAATGAGCTGGAAAGATTTATTTATTTATTTTATAATCAACATTACGTTTAGATGGCTTCTTTTATTAATATTTATAATGCATTTTTATTTTAACCCACTATTGTTGTTACTATTACCAGTTTATGAATATGAATAAGGGATTTAATGAAATCATACTCTATATGTTTGCATTTGTTTTAACCCACTTTTCCTTATTAAAGCAGTATCAGAGATATTTTATCAGAGAGTGTCTTTTTATATATTTTTAAAAATATATTCAATATATTTTTGTGAAATGTACCAGTAGGCAAATATAACAGGGTTAGAAAAACGTAAACCTTAATAACTTAGCCGGGCCACGCTAATAATGTCTAAAATGCCCATGGGCTCAGTTCCTGATGCTGAGCAATAGCACACATTAAGACCAGGAATGTCTTTTAATGTAAAGTACATAAGTAAGGCCAATGCAGTAAAAATGGTTTTGCACAAATATGATCTGAGTCTTACTCTAAGGAAGGAGTCGAGCGCTCCGTTCTCCATGAACTCTGTGACAATAAGCACGGGACAACTCCTAGTCAGAACTCCCTCCAAGTGGATGACATTGGGATGGTCAAACTGGCCCATGATACTGGCCTCGCTGAGGAAGTCCCGTCTTTGACGCTCCGTATATCCTGCCTTCAGCGTCTTGATGGCCACGGTGGCTTCCTTTCTACCCGGCTGTTTGAGTCTGCCCCGACACACCTCCCCGAACTCTCCTGAATGAATGAAGCAGAGAAAGAGAGAGAGAGATAGAGAGAGAGGGAGTGGGGTGGGGGGCGTGAGGGAGAGGGAGGATTATTGGTTGAGCTCAGGATAAAAAAAAATCATTCGAGGGAAGAAATGATGTACTGCTGAAAGACCAAGGAAAGTGTAAGAGAGAGAGAAAAGAGCAGATGGCAACAGTTCAGAGTTTGAATAGGCAGGGGACGGATGGAGAGAGAGGGTGAGAGAGGAGTTTAGGGAAGGGCTGTGGAGAGGGAGGAGAGAGGAGTTTAAGGGTTGTGGGAGTTTTGGGCCTGGACTCTAGATGTACACGTTTGAGATGAGGTGGAGGGAAGTGATTCAGATCATAAAACATAAAACAAGCACAGGGATGGAAAAAAAGAAAAGAAAAAGAAGAACATAGGTAAAGGCAGCAAGCAGCATGCATATGGTTAGTTATAGAATTAACTCTGAACTATCCATTTAAGCTATTTAAATATTAGCTATTGTTATAAATAAATATTTTAAAACTTTATTTTTTATTTTTTTGCAAGGCAGTGGTTCTCAACTGGTGTGTTGCAGATCTTTTTGCAACACTGGCTATGGACTGCAGGGAAAAACACTGCATGTACATTACTAAATCATGCAGTCCTCAATATTTATGAATCTCATTAAAAGGGAGGCTGTCCTGTTCCGAATAGAAAACAGTTATTTTGAATTGTAACAATTTCACCATATTACTATTTTTTCCCCTATTTTTGAATCTAATAAATACCGCCTTGATGGGTATAGCAGTCTTATTTCAAAAACATTACGATACTGTTGGACCTTTGCACTTCATGGTAATAATCATAAATATCAATCAATGTTTATTAAAGACCTTTTTTGTTATTTTTATATAATTAACAATTTTGGTCATGTAAAATGAAGTCCTGAAGCAAAACCAGCTTAAAACCACTGATCCAAGGCATGTTGGGAAACATACATTCTTCATAACGACCACAATAATCATAGATGCCAGGTTTTGTTTTAATACGGAGGAATGTGGTTTACCAGCTCCAATGACTTCCTCTATCTTCACACATGAGATGTCAATCTCTCGGGCAAACTCATGAACTGCCTCGTTCGGGTCCTCATATGTAAAAGGGTCAATGTAAACTTTTACGCCCGGCGATACTGAAGCGAAAAGAAGTAAAGAAGAATGTTAGTTATTTTTATTTATATTTTATTAGCATTATTTCACATGCTTTTTTATAGATATGTACACTGTAAACATTCTGTTAAAAAAACATTCCAAATGTACCAAAAAAATAATAATTCAATGTCCTTTTACGTTTTTTTTTTTAAATCTTAAAAATAGGAACTATTTTTTCCAATCAAAGCAAAACTTTTTGACACGTTTCACTGTATAGTTATGAAAACAGATATACAATTCACTCTAAATGATATGGTAATTACGGAGCCCCCCTAGTCCCACTTTGGCAAAAAAAAAAAAAAAATATATATATATAACTATCTTGTGGCCTCAAGATAGTAATTCATGGCCTCAAGATGGTAACTCGTGGCCTCAAGATAGAGTTAGTATCTTGAAACCACGAGTTACTATCTTGAGGCCACGAGATAGTATCTTGAGGCCACGAGTTACGATCTTGAGGCCACGAATTACTATCTTGAGGCCACAAGATAGTATCTTGAGGCCACGAGTTACGATCTTGAGGCCACGAATTACTATCTTGAGGCCACAAGATAGTATCTTGAGACCACGAGTTACTATTTTGAGGCCACGAGTTACGATCTTGAGGCCACGAGTTACGATCTTGAGGCCACGAGTTACTATCTTGAGGCCACGAGATAGTATCTTGAGGCCACGAGTTACGATCTTGAGGCCACGAATTACTATCTTGAGGCCACGAGATAGTATCTTGAGGCCACGAGTTACGATCTTGAGGCCACGAATTACTATCTTGAGGCCACAAGATAGTATCTTGAGACCACGAGTTACTATCTTGAGGCCACGAGTTACGATCTTGAGGCCACTAATTACTATCTTGAGACCACGAGTTACTATCTTGAGGCCACGAGATAGTATCTTGAGGCCACGAGTTACGATCTTGAGGCCACGAGTTACTATCTTGAGGCCACGAGATAGTATCTTGAGGCCACGAGTTACGATCTTGAGGCCACGAATTACGATCTTGAGGCCACGAATTACTATTTTGAGGCCACGAGTTACGATCTTGAGGCCACTAATTACTATCTTGAGGCCACGAGTTAGTATCTTGAGGCCACGAGTTACGATCTTGAGGCCACGAATTACGATCTTGAGGCCACGAATTACTATTTTGAGGCCACGAGTTACGATCTTGAGGCCACTAATTACTATCTTGAGGCCACGAGTTAGTATCTTGAGGCCACGAGATAGTTATAATTATTTTTTTTTTTTGCCAAAGTGGGACTAGGGGGGCTCCGTAGGTAATTCATACTTTTTTACCTTCAAAAACATACATTTTTACAGTATTTTTTTTTACAGTAGTATTTTTTCATCTTCAACAATCCACTGCAATTTTTTTTTTTTTTACTATTTTACTATTTTACTTGATACAATAGTTTTCCACTAGGTCATGGCTCTGACTTAATAATTTAATGAAATGTAGTATATATATATATATATATATATATATATACACACACTTAAATATCTACCATCATTGCACCATATTCACAAGCTTTCTCTTGCCACACCAGTAAATATGTATAGCAAGAAAGATAATCTTTTTTGTAAACAGGGTGTAGGTATACTCACCGTACTGCTGCAGTTTCTCCGTATACTCCAGCTCAGATCCAGTACGCTGCCGTCTGTAACCAGATTATACACACATCAAGAGTCTGGCTTAAGACTGGATTTACACGGTACAGGCAACACACACAACATTTTCTTTAACTGGGGCATCTTGCGAAAGAGAACATTTGAGTGCTTTCGGTATTTCATATGCTTTAATCATCAATTATGTCCCTCAAATTACTAGTTTTAATCAATCTAAACTTTTGAGGATGATTCACCCCGCTAAAAGCTGGATCTAGGCCTTTTGACCCATTCCTCATCATGTGTGCCTAATTGCGAAAGAGTACATGCAGGATTCAAAGGCCGGGTCACCACAACAAGCAGCGCGAAAGATCAACCGCCAAGACTGTCTTGTCATCGCCTCTAACCAGAAGTCCTCCATTACACGGTTCAGATGAGCCGAACTGTAGGTTATACTCTAAAAACAGTAAGTCAATTAACACCAAATCATAGGTTGAATCCTTAAGCGCGTAACAAATAACCAGGCCCGGAACATACATGCTAATCTGTGCTCGGTTCACGCCTGTATCGAGTGTCTGAAGACAGTGAACAGTGTGTTTAAATCGCAGGCTTCTCATTAAGATCTCTTTGTTTCACTAACTCTGCATAAGTAGTGCGTTTGAAAGGGAACGGGAGCAATGGGGCCTATTGGAATTCGCCATCTGTGAGATTCCTTTTGTCTCTTGACCTGTGCTAACAATGACGCCTGCTGCTAATTAGCATCTCATCTCCAATTTAAATGTCAGGAGGAAAAGAGTGACGCTTCAGCGCGCACACACACACAAAGAAAACATTGGGATACTAGCGGAGAGGGCATGAATGAGAGAGAAGAAAGAGCTTGAAGCGGAGAGGAGGAGACGCTTTGGCACAACAAGGCGGTCACAGTCAAGAAGAATGTGTCAAATAGACACAGTGGCAGTCTGCCGTCTCTGGAGTGATTGGCAACGTCCCAGTCTTCGTTCAGATCTGGGCAAAGTGGCCTCAAATGAGCATCTTGTGAGAGTCTCATAAATATCCGAAGTCGGACGCACTTTGAAGTCTGTTTTGCAATGCCCATCTCGTGCTATTGAGTTTGTTTGACACCAAGTACTGAGGCATTGACATGATAAACAATACAAATAGCCCTTTGCTAAGTCAACAAGAAATTTAAATGGACCCCCGTTTACTTTGTATTAACAGTCATTACTTTATACCTCTGCCAGTTTTCCTCATTAAATATACTAATTCAGCCAGAAATAAGTGCAAGGACAAAATACCTTGTTTTCTGATCCACATAAGACAGGTTTGGAACAACATAAGGATGAGTAATGACAGAACTATCCGTACGGTATGTAGGGGTGTTCATTGATAAAACTTACCTAAGGCAAACAACAGCAATGACCACCATGGCAAGGATGACGACAAATCCCGCAGCGGCGGAGCCCACAATGAGCGGCAAAAGGTCCTGAACTGACCGCTCTGGGTCATCTGTCAGATGAATTTACATTTATTTACAATACCAATAATGCAGAAATATAGGCAAACTTCATATGATATTTCTTCTAAAATCCACCAGAAACAAACAGACAAAGCTGTAAGAGTACTGGACCACTTCCAACAACTTCAGTCCTGATTTCTTCGAGGGGAAGGTCTATGGGCGGGTAAATGTATGTGTTTTATTATTTTATTATGATCTGATGGACAAAAGCTCACCCAATTTACATATGAACGCGCCCGGAGACGACGAAAAACGCTGAACAAGGTGGGCCCTATCTTGCGCCCACGCAAATGACTTTGTACACTGACGCTTATATCATTCCTATTTTGCACCCGCGCAAAGCGGACTTTTCCCTCCACAGATGCACGTCGATAAACTAGGAAATGAACTTGCGCTCCCTGGGCAGGTTGGCGCAAAAAGGAGGCGTGTTTCGGCGCAAACAATATTTTGCAGTTCCAGGAAACAATTGCGCCAATGGCGCGTTCTTTCAGATGCTATTTTAAGCGTGCATGCTTGGCCAGTGTGAACAACGCGCATTCACAAGATAATTCTCTCATCTACGCGGATGCATTTTACTTTTTGCAAATGATACATTTTTATTTTTTAAGTAAAAATATTTAAACACGAGGGAAATCATTGTTGTGTCCATGACGATGGAAAATAGGCATAAGGTTTTCAACAATTACCCAAATGATTATATGCATGTTTAACCGAAGCTAATTTAGGTGGGTTTGTCCTATCCCCAATGGCACTTCTCTTTCTTTTAAAGCCCTGACGAGAACATCGATCTCCTCGGCTTTGAACTGATTGTGAAGCGCGCCTGGTAAATGTGGCGTTATAATAGTATTGCGCCATGTAACAAGCGCACCTCGTTCATCACGCTCTTAAAGGAGAACTCCGGCGCAAAATGAACCTTTGGTCTAATTACACATTGTTACCTAGTCAACCGTTATCTGAAATTTGTTTTCATGATTGCCAAATGAAAATAGTTTTATCTATAAAAACAGTTTAGTCTATAACGCTAGTATATAGGGCATAGAGTAATGACAAATAAAAATCGCTTGTTATTACCACTAACAAGGCTCAAAATAGCCCCACAGTAACGCGGTAGCATAATAAGGGTCCCTACATTCAAACCGAAGCATTAAGAACTTTGTCAGTGTCCATACAGTTTAATAAGAAGATATTTTATACATACAGTCAACATCGCGAATACAGGAAGAAGCCATCTTTGAAAAATAGTTTCTACCAGTCGATCTATGAACGCCGATCCAAGTGCACTGAACTGTGCAGAATCTCATATGGTCCGTTGTTTCCGGAAGAAACACAAACACGAACCGTTTTCTTCTCTTCAATATCTACACGTAGCCTACTGTTCGCGCTCACCTTATCACCTTATTAACATCTCACCAGCGCACATGGATCGGTGTTCGTAGATCGACTGGTAGAGACTATTTTTCAAAGATGGCTTCTTCCTGTATTCGCGAAGTTGACTGTGTGTATACAATATCTTCTTATTAAACTGTATGGACACTGACAAAGTTTTCAATGCTTCGGTTTGAATGTAGGGACCCTTATTATGCTTTGTGTTAGTGTGCGGCTATTTTGAGCCTTGTTAGTGGTAATAACAAGCGATTTTTATTTCATTACTCTATGCCCTATAGGCTAAACTGTTTTTAGAGATAAAACTATTTACATTCGCCAATCATGAAAACAAATCTCAAAATATAGCTGCGAGCAGCGATGAAGGGCCCAAGCCGGTGGCACCGCAACCCCGGTTCCTTAGTTACCTAAAAGCACCAGGGTGGCCATGCCACTGGCTTTGGCCCTTCATCGCGGATCACAGCTATATATATATATATATATATATATATATACTGTATATACATATATATATGAAGCCGGTGGCACCGCCACCCTGGTGCCTTTAGGTTTATTGTGCATGACATGCAAAATGTAACCCTGCTTTGACTGATGCAAGCTCTACAGCACAGTTTATAGTAAGAAAGAATATAGTAAGAAAGAAAAGTAAGCTGTTACTCTGAGATGGTTTGGGAAACAAACATTCATCATGTCGCATTGGTTTTAGTTACTTGTCCTCGAACAGAGCCCTAATCTGTTTATATTTCAGTTACACATTCTACATTGATTAAAAAAGAAAAATCAAATGTGTTTTTAATTCATACAGAAATAAAATATTTATAATCAGCTGAGAATAAAGTTAGTTCAAATTTTAAGAAAAACAAATATGATCTGAAAATATAGCACATTCATTTTTAATTCATTCAGGTTCAATTACCAAAAATACAATCTTAATTTAATTTAAAGCAAATAATAAATCTAAAATATATGGGTTATATGCATATTTTGTAAAAAAAAGAAAAAAAAGAAAGAAAGATATATATCCAAAAACACAAGGCCTTAAACTTTAACAAGGGTGCAACTCTTATCACTACAACAAACATAGTCACACACACAAGTCAAGTCACTTACATTTTAGATGCAATATTGACTTTTAGATGCAATATTGACTTTTTTCTGTTTCAGCAGAGAAAATAGTTAAACAAAGATCACAGCGACCCATCGCGCATCTCAAAGCAATGTGTTTTCTCATTACTGAATGATTCAGCATTTTGAATCCATGACTCGTTCATTAAGACGGTCATCTGGCGACACCTTATGGTGATTTAGGGTTATGTTTAAAAGTATCGTTCTTTACAGCGATTTTTAATTGACTCCTGTTAAACCAATCTCGTAACATTATTGTGTAACCGATTTAATTTGATCAGCCTTACCTAGGGTAACAGCCCTATAGTGTCTTATTATTCTAAATTATTGAATTTATTGATCAAATTTACTAATGAAAAATGAAGCATACATTTATTAAGACTAGGCTGCCCTGCAGATATTAGGCTACAATATGCAGATTTAAATATACCATTTATCAAATAATCTGTTTATTTTTAGGTTACACATTACATTGTTTAAAAAATAAAAATCAAATGTGACCCGGCGAAATGAGTCGGAAGTTGCAACCTTCCATTTTAAGATATGGGCCGATTATGTGGAAAAACCATGAAATAACAAAAAAAATATATATATATATATTTTTTTTGCTAATTTCAAAGAACAGACATTCAAAAATAATCTCACAGGGTTTCGTAGTCGAGATAATTGAGTAAAGGTATTAAATAACGATTAAAGTTGTCAAAGCTTTAAATTCGCTGAAATAAACATTGCTCTTCTCAACTCCCCTCGTCACCTCTGAGCATTTCCCGGGTATCCCCTGAAACGTTGAACTCACTGGAGGCTTCTAACCTAAACTGCGTGAGTATATTTATCTGCAAGAAGAATATAGCCTATTAAGGCTGTAACGATCGCGACACTCAGATCCACGAACCTGTGTCGCGGTGTGAGAGGACAGAATCACGACACCGACACGTCCCTTCAACTCCCGAAGTTATCCTTCACGTCCAGACCCAATGCTAGCTACAACATCTTTAAATTACTAGTATTATTTGAAGTTAACATTATAAAATACGTAGACTTACACCACAAAACTTAAATTATTACTAAATTTTTTAAAATTGGGCAATTTCAGCATTATGGAGGAGATCATTCCCAGATAATTAAATATTTTAATAAATTGGCCTATGTGAACCACACTGCACAAACCAAAAGTAATACTCACCGGATGAAGAAGGGTTGACTCTCTCCAGAACATAAAATCTTTATTTTATTTTCCGTGTTCGCATTTATGAGGAAAAACAATCCGAACGTGACCGTTCTCTGGAAGCAGCACTAAAACTTTCACATAGCTTAAACATGCAAGCACAAAGCCTTTCTTTAAAGTAAATTTCGTTTTAAAATAATTATCTTAATTTAAATCAATGTTTCATCAACCAATTACTAGGATTTAATAATAAGAAATAAATTGCAGACAATAGGCTAGGCCTAATCACGACGCGGAGACGCGCGGCACGTTGAACTGAAGCTTGTCTTCATGAACCGAAAGTCAGCGTTATAAGGTATCCTCACAGACATATATATTGAAATGTCTACTTTTAAACACAACCCATTCAAAATGAAAGAAA